GCAAACAGAACAGCAGCACATGGGTGCAGGTTTCCCCAAGACCAGCCATGCAGTTACAATGAGCACACAGAACACTACCATTTTGTTTCGCTATCATCCAGGGCTGTAGAGGCTTCTCACTCATTCTCTGAGAATGCATGACCTGTGTAAAAAAATAATTATGAGGTAATTGAAGCCCCAAAGCACAAGATGTACAACAATTGTAATGTATCCTTATAGTTAATAGAAAACACACCAGACTGAGACCGAGATTTTCAACAGACATATATCTCTTAACAAAAGGACATCCACGACTGAGAAAACAGTGGACTATTAAAAATACTGACAATGCCATATATTAGTGCTCACCTTAGCAGATACTACAATGTTTTCATTGCACACAAATGTTTTCATTTCTCTCACCCAACCGGAAACAAATTGGTTGTAGGCTTCAAGACCTTTGTAACACTTTAAGTCATCCAGTGTGTAAGGGCTAGGATTGAAAACCAGGTAATTCACAATATCTGGATATGTCACGGACGGTAACAAGGCGACGTCTGCAGACCATTTAGTAGCATCAACCACGTAAGGGTCACAGCCCCCAATAGTAGACAGTTTTGCTTCATAACGTAGCTGTTCTGCACCAGAAAGTGTTTCACGATACAGACAGAGAGCATTTTTAGGTTTCAATTTAGAGCCAGACATGTTTGCAATGAAAGAAGGAAATGGAAATGACTGAAGGAAATGAACAGATACACTAGCAAACAATCAATCTATTTACGCGTACTATTGTTATGATCGCAGACGACACAGACGACGCAGACGACACAATTGTAGGACCTCCAAAATGGCCGACTTCCGGGTTAATGACGTCACGTGAAAGACCTCTATATAATTATGTTATTTCCCAAAGCACTTATATTTAATACATTGACGAAAAACACCGCAAGAAAAATGTAAATCAGGCTTGTAATTACTACTCGAACGCAATGTTGATCACTGTAAAAGTGGATAAATTCGAACCGTCATCAAATTCAAAATTCAAGCGATCTCGTTGAATGTCAAAAATAAACTCGATGTTTAGAAAGACAAAAACAACACCATATTAGAGTGCAAAAAAAGTTAGCAGCAAAGAACGAGAAGTGCATGTGGGAAAGCGATGAGTGAACTCGAGGAAAATTATGCTGATGTGAGAACAAGCCATATACTCGCGGAGTACTCGCTAAAACATCGAGAAAATGTGCCATTTCAAAGGGCACCCTTACAAATAATGTCTGCGATTGTGTGAACATGAAAACGTGCAAACAAGGAACAGAACTCGTGGTCCACAAGGAAACTTAGCGATGACGCAGTTAGATGTATACGGCTGTTGAAAACAGACTCCTTCGATCTCATATAAGCAGGTTCACGTGGATGTATCATTTTCAACTATTACCAACAACGCTATGATAACAAAGACATTGTGAAATTCTTTTGTTTTTATGTAGAAAAATACAGTAATACATGAGTTGTCGAACACACTACATAGCTTGTAAATTCTAGCTCCTTTCAGTCACGATTCAAGACAAATAAAAGGCACAAATATAGATAATATAGCAAATTATTTTTTTCTGTAATAATTGTGTGTAATCAGTAATTATGAAAAAAAATTATGGGTACATATGAAATAGATTTCGTTATGAATTATTCTTAATATCAATTTCTAAATTATTTTGTCAAAATCAGTTTTTTTTCCAGGTTTTTTCCCCCAAAACGAAAGAATTTCATAATGTCGGGAACGAGAAGTTTTTTTCTTATTATTATTTATTGGGAACGGAAAGTCTTTATTGTAGTGCTTCGCCTCGGTTGACAATGAGCTCTTCGGGTCGCTAAAACTGTGTGTCCACCTCTGTTGGGGTGAACATTTGTATTATTATCAGTAACTGAATAAATCTTAGAACAGAAATGGTGGCACTCAATTATGGCAATCTTCCAGCTCATCTTTAGAATGATTTTCGGAGGCAAATTTAATCTTGAAGGATTGCAGGAAATTGACCCTTACCGATTCATATTTATGAATTAATCGGGATTCAGATACCATAGTGTTTGTAACAGGAAAAAAAAACGCTTTCGCATGGGATTTTTCATGCAAACATTGTGAATGGTTCCCCGACACTGATTCTTTTTTAACTTTCAATTTTTCTAAAACGCGGCAAACCCTGCTCATGACCGGAGACGACGTCGAGATGCAGGTGCGATTCCTCTTAGCAACGCGTTCTATTTATTCCTAAAGCGTGTGGTCGGTGTTTCGTGATGTACGTATTTATTACATTCTCAAGATGGCTGACACAACCTCCGGGTCATGGGGTTACTAAGGACTAGGGTCATAGGTCAAATGGACTATATAGCAATATAGTCAATATCGTAACATCTCTCTTTACATAGTTTTTTTGAACAATAAAACTAAAATCGATAAACTCTTCGAAACGAGCATAAATCTATAGCACCATAACACTAGTGTAAATACATGTAATGTTCAACAGTTCAATGTTCACTAACAATATTCTCATCAAAAGTCCATGAAATTCGAAATAATGTTCAACGTTCAATTAAATGTTATCAACAGTCCATGAAATGCGAAATAATGTTCAACAATAATTCATACTTAACACAACTGTTCAACGTTCAATTAAATGTTCTTAACAGTCTATCCTTTCAACAGTTAGTTCAAGACAAAGTCTTTATAGCGTGATGGCATTCTAACAGCTCGCGTACTTGAGCATATTGGTGATGTTTGTATCGGTGGATCTGTTGTCATCGGTAACTTCACTGCTGGTGATGGTGTTTTGTTGGGTTGTGGTGTTAGGTCGCGATGCATATTTATAGTTGGAGATTCACATGGTTTTATGCCGGTATCTGTATGATGCTCTATTTCTGGTGATATCACTTCCTTCGTTGGCCTAAGGAATTTCCTGTTTCTTCGATATGTATTTCCATTGATGTCGACGTTGTAAGAGCGGGGTGCAACTTGTCGTGTAACAATTCCGTGACGCCATTTTCCTTCTCTGTCAGTATGTAGTGCTTTCATTCGAATTGGCTGACCTATTTAGATTTACGACGACGTTGCTTGTTGTCATCTGTAACTCCGTCAACTACTTTTGGATGTAGTAGTCTATTTGCAGTAAGTAGTAGCGTGCGAGTGCGATGTGACATGAGACGTTGTACCGAACTACTGTGCGTTCCTTCAGTCGGTGTGTTTCTCCAGTCAAGGATTGCTTTCCAGGGGTCTTCATTGTTTCTTTGTGCTT